ATTATGATTATTATAATTTATTAATACTATTGTTATTAAGGGCCATTATTGTTATGTTCATCATAATTACCAATCTTGGTTATTTTCGAACAGATGTATCGTGCGGATTGTAGCGTATGGTCTTGGAAGTGGCTAGACAATCATGGAACACACCCTTTTTTCTCGTTTGTGTCATTATTTATCCATCGTGTCCTGAAACCTTAATAAAATAAGTGTTACCGTGTTGTGGTTACGCAAACATCTTGCTTTCAATAATTGAACCTTGCCTGTGTCCCTAATTGTCTGTTTGGTATTGAGAACACTGTATTCGGCAATTGTTCCGCTCAAGGATCGCGCACACATTTCTAGTTAAATTATCAAACATAGTTGTAATATAAATTTCTATTTATCTCCTCCGTTCTTAATCTGGTCGTAAAACTGAATGGCAAACACTGTTCCTTTTCGTGCTATATGTTCAAACCGGAAAAGATCACAAATTACCAAAGACTGCTAATCCTCGCCTGCCAAAATTACTGTTCAACGTGCTTTTTTTAAAAGAAAAACTGCTTGTTTTAGTGGTCTTACGCTAAATCCCTAACTGTACACGAACTTGGTAAATGTACGGAATTTCAACAAACATTTTTTCACATGTCATAAACCTTTGCGTCATAAACCAAAACTAAAATCTCGGTAAAGCACTTTTTAGTTCATGTGGTATACCGATGTGTTCTTCATTTGTATAAAAATGTTATCAACTTGTGTTAATAATTGTAATAAATGTAAATACCTCGGTGCCATATGTGGCCTATGTGAGTGGGAGTGAACCTCGTAAAGTTCCATACTCACAGCACACTTTTTTTTATTTACAAATGTTACGGAATGTGTCTTTCTCACATTCTGGTTGGTCGATAGTTTGTTATGTGCGCAGGCGTAATTTAAATTTGTGTGTATCTTTGGCTTGACGATAAATAAACACTAAATACGAAAGCAGCAGAGTGATTGCCGCTCTATAAACCTACCTCACAACACAGTTTAAAAGTTTACCAAGAATAATCGAATGCTGGCCAAGGCGCAAAATTCTCCAAACTCCTACTAATTTACGTCGTTTCATCAGAACATAAAATGATACCCCAAAACGAAACTGCATGCGCAATAACGGCATAAAAAACTCGTTTCGACGTAAAAAAAAGATGTTCGCTGTTGTGATCGGAGGTCATTGCCGCCTCTGCATAGCACCGTATCCCCGTCCAAGATGGAGGAAGGGAGTGGGAAGGGGCACTGGAAGGCGGTGGAGAGGGGGCGGGGAGATGGGTGGCAGGAGATGGTGAGAGAGAGAGAGCGAGAGAGAGAGAGAGAGAGAGAGAGAGAGAGAGAGAGAGAGAGAGAGAGAATCTTCCTCCTCCTGCTACCTCCTGCGTATTAGTTCGGCCGCTGGGACTCGCCAGTAGCGGCCATGCCGTGCCCCCAGGCACACAAGGCGCATCGCCGAAGTTTTCCTCTCCCGTCGACCTTGCCGGTGCTGCTGCTGGTTCTGCCGGCGCTGCTGCCGGCGGCTGCGGGACAGACGAGGCAGGCGGGCCGCGGCAGCGCCGTCCGCCAGGTGGGCTACAGCGTGCCCACGCCCCTCATCGAGGCCCTCAGTCCCCGAGGGCTGCGGGCGACCATCCCAGGTGAGGCCAGGGGGGTTTACTACTGCGACCAAGTAGTGCTGCCTGCTCGATCTCGTGTTGTTTCAGTCATACGCATTTATGCCAGTAGAATGCATTTTTGGCGGATAGCAAACTCACTGCATTCGAGATCCGGTACTTGTCTCATTATTAAATTGCTCGTTAGGCTTGGTGTCGCATAAATTATTCCCGAAACATTTTCCACGATAAAAAACGTGTGTAGCTGAAAGTTTTCTCGAGGAGTGCATGATAGAATTAGGTTTTCCTGTGAGCAGCCACACCGCGGCCGCGCACCCCTGGACCGGCCGACCAGCGCCGCCCCCGCCCAGCTCCTAATTTGGGCCAGTAATATCGGCGCAAGACGATAACTCTCTTGTGCCGGTGGCAGTTCCGACCGCCCCGCCCCGCCCCGCCCCACCCAAGGGTAGGGACCGAGGGACGCGGGAGAGTTCCTGCCGCGTAGGCTGGTCGTTTGTAACGGCTTGTCTCACGGGGGCGACGCGGGACCGCGGCGGCGGGGCGGGGCCAGCTGCCTGTCCGGGACCCCACGACCCCTTACGACCCTCACACTAATGTCTGTTCGCTTCAGATGAGCCGGGCATCTCCCTGGTCCGCTTCCACATCGGCGTCAACAAACCACTGTCGGCGCAGCGCCTGGGCACGGTCAACGTGGAGGTGAGCCAGCCCACCGACTCGGGCGCCGCGCCGCTGTGGACCTACGAGGACCGGACCACGGTCCTGGGGGCGGGGGACGTCCTCTACTTCTGGCTGCAAGTCACCCTGGCCGGCCACACGTACGAGCGCGCGGGCACCTACGCCGTGCAAGGTGAACAAAAAGAAATGCGCGGGAGGCACGAGCCCGGATGTGAAAGAACAAGCAGATTGAAAATAAAAGGAAACGGGGTAAGATGACATTGTGGTTTCCGCAGATGTGGTCGAGATGCTCGACGTCGTCAGCGCCCCTGTCTTGAGCGTGCCGCTCGCAGAGTCCGCGCCGCCGTCGGCACAGCGCCCGCAGCAGAGGCCGCCGCCCAGGCCACCGCCGTCCCCCGAGGCCGCCGCAGAGCAACCCTGCACCCGGTCGCTGACCAGCGTCAACGGACGCCTCGTCTGCCAGGGAGAGCTGCTTTTCCTCGAGAACTTCGACGTCACCGATCTCTCGGCCGGCCCCTGGAGGCACGACGTGCGGATCGCCGGACAGCCGGTACACAATGAGACCCCCTAGACGCCGTTCTGGATGCCGAGTGAGTGCGAATTGTGATAACGTGTGTATTCGTATTGTGTCCATGTCCAGGACTTTGAGTTCACGACCTTCACGCGAAGCGAGGCAAACACCTACGTCGTCAACGGCCAGCTCGTCATCCGCCCGACCCTCACGGATGACGTCTACGGGAAGGACTTCGTCCGCACCGGCAAGCTGCGGCTAGAGAAGTACGTATTATGTCGGAGCATGCTGGAGCCTCGGCTGCCCGCGGGCCGGCCGGCCGGGGCATCTGCCTAACGCCCGCCCACCGTACAGTGCCCCTCCCCCCCCCGCGCAATCGCAGTCTTCCGTATCTGCGAGGAGAGAGACGATCTTCTCGTCTCGAGTTTCCTTAACACTTCGGTGCACTGTGGAGATTTCTTTACGAAATTTACGACATTAGCTTTTAGATTAGGAAATTTAATTGACAGCTGCCGTTTTCCGATGGGTCTACATCTTTGGATATTACCGGGTCAAGCAAAAATTAGTGATCAACAATATCCAGTTGATATACACCAGTGTTAACGAGTATTCACGCCTATTCACTTAATGTTCACGAGTATTCAAATTAATTCACAGTACTCGAAATTTTTGAGTCGTGGCCCCCTTGGTTTTTTGTGTTAGGCTGCAAAATAATGTGTAATTACATGTGGCAAAAAATAATCATAAATGATTTTAGTTATGGCATTTTACTTTTATTTTTTTCAGTGTGACTGACTTTGGTTTGCAGCTGTACGGCGGGCGCGCTGGAGTCGGAGCTGTGCTCGCGCCAGGCGCGCTACGGGTACATCCTCCCGCCGGTGCTCTCGGGCCGCATCTCGACGCGCAAGACCTTCAGCTTCCGATACGGTGTCATCGAGGTGCGCGCCAAGCTGCCCAGCGGTGACTGGATCTACCCAGGTACGGGGCTCGGCTCGGTGGCGTGACGTGACGCGGCGGCCGCAGCAGTGGGAACCGGCCCGGCCCACCGCCCGCCTGCGGCAACGCCCAGCGGCCGCGGCGGTTGGGTGGCCTACCACGCCGGAGTGGCACTGCCCTCCTCCGCCTGTCTCCTCTGCCTGTCTGTCTTACTCACCGACCTGCTCGCTCGCTCACTCACTCACTCACTCACTCACTCACTCACTCACTCACTCACTCACTCACTCACTCGCTCACTCACTCACTCACTCACTCACTCACTC